GCTAGACCAGAGGATGTACACTGGTACCAACAAGAAATGGAAACACAGGGAATCCAGGACAGATAAACCCCTCAGGACCAATAATGAGAGTAGCAGTGCCATGAGGGGAAGGGGAAGGTGGGGTAGAAAGGGGGAACCTATCTACATATCACCCCCTCCCTGGGGAATGGACATAAGAAAAGTGGATGAAGGGAGATGTTGGACAGTGTAAGACATGAAAACATAGTAATAATTTATAAATTATCAAGGGTTTGTGATGGGGCAGCAGGGAGGGAGGGGGAAAATGAGGAGCTGATACCAAGGGCTCAAGTAGAAAGCAAATGTTTTGAGAATGATGATGGCAGCAAATGTACATTTGCTTGACACAATGGATGTATTAGGGATTTTGATAAGAATTGTAAAATGATCTTAAAAAGAAAGAAATTGCTAATTTGTTTAAAGCAAACAATACATCTTCTAGAAAATAATATGATGTTATTCCAGGTAGACTGGAGAAACAAATCCAGGAAAGAGCTTTATATCAAAGAGTAATTATGTATTAAGAAAATATCCCAGCCCAGTCCAGATCAAGTCCGTAAATATGATATCAGCCCATATGTCCAATATTAGCCCATGAATTTCTCTTCAGATTCATGCAGCACATGCAATGATGCCGAATGCAGAAAGATCACAAGCCAGTGGGTGGAAAGTCCTGTGGGTCCAGTGGCAGTGGAAGCATCTCCAGGGCTCTGGCTGCCATCAGCATGGCTCCATGTGGCTTGTCAACAGGAATGTGAAGCAGATAGAGAGTATGGCCCTACTCCAGGAATTAAAATAGGAAGTTCCCAGAATCCTCAGGAGAAGGCCACGGCCACACATAGACATTATTGGCGATGACCTGATTGACAGGCTAGACTCCACCCCTTCGCTCATATCCTCAAGTTGACACATGATCATGTAACTACCACAATAAGAGAATATCTTCATCACCTGGTGTCTTGGTTATCTAGCGCTGCTGTAGCAAAAGTACCACAAATGATGGCTATACCAAACTAATCTCTTGTCGCACAGTTTAGAAGACTAGAATTCCGAATCCAGGGCTTTGTCAGCTATAGGAGAAGGTCCTGATCTCTATTCAGCATCTGTGAACCCACTATTTCTTGGAGGTCTGTATGTGTTTTGACCTCAGTCTTCTGGGTACTCACGGCAGGGATACACACTCCACTCCTTAGTGGTGCTGTGGTCCATCCTCTATTCGCATCTCTTTTCTTTGATCTCTTGTAAGATAAAAGGTGTTGCAAGCCATATTCCAAGACTACTCCCCTTTTCCTGAGTCAGGGCGGTGGCCTGAGTAAAAGGCTCGCATTCTATTCTCATTGCCTTACAAGTGATTTGCCAATCACATTAGATCACATCATGAGAGATAATTGTATCATGGCTTATCTGCCAGATCATGGCTTGACATATATCTGGGAGAGTCATAATTCAATCCATGACATTTGGGTAGGCAAATATTTCTTAAACAGGACACAGAATGTACTAATAAGTAAGGGAAAGATGGTCATGTGGTTGTCTGGTGCCCTCGGGTCAATTCTGACTCAAAAAGACCTTACTGAAGAGAAGGAAACACTGCCCAGTCTAGCACCATCCTCACAAACATTGCGATTGATCCCATTGTTTCAAGCACTCCTGTCCGTCCATCTCCAGGAGGGTCTCTGACCCTCTATTTCATCAAGCACAATTTTGGGGGGGACTGCCTCTGTAAGATTTTACCTCCTCATACAAGGAGCATTCTGTCTGTACTTCTTCCAAGGCAGATTTGTTTATTTCCTTGGTAACCTGAGACACTTTCAATGGTCTTCACCAATGCCACAATTCAAAGGCAAAGGATCTGGAATGACCAAGAGAATCTTTTAAAAAACACCTTGAAATCTTATATCATTAAATTATCAAAATGTACAGTAATTGAGAGTGTGTATTATTGATATAAGTGCAGGCAAAGGGAACACTGGAAAGGAAAAGTCTAAAGAGGGTCCAAAATGCTATGAACACTTGAATGTTGATGGCAACGGTACTAAATGAAATGTATTTTTTTATGAGTATGGTGCTAACAATATTGTTGAGTTTTTTATTCCATTTGCAAATCATATGATAATCCAGCTCATATTTCAGCTCACTAATGTCTCTGACTGCATATCGGTCTATTTATAGGTTATTGATTAGCACAATTGGAGAAGTTCTTTGGTTCCGGACCCGATAGGACACATCGTCCAGAGCTCCTGCTGCCAGACCAGAAAATTGGGAGGTAAGACGAAGCATCCAGAAATTAGAACTAGGGTACTAGGGTCTCTCCTGAATCTCTTTTTTGCGTGCAATTTCCACTCACAAAGCAAACCGAGAACGCTTTGAAACGCTCTAGCTTCTGCGGCCCGCTCCAGCAGCAGCTCAGCCCCAGACACGGTTTCCCCCGCCTGTGGCCTTAAAGGGACAGTAAGCCACAGAGAACCCCACGCGGGAGCTCTCCGCGCTGTTGGCCGCCCTGAGCTCACCGCCTGGGGAGTGGCGGGGGCGGGTAGCCATAATTTAGAATAGAAGAAAAAGCAGACTATTACCTGATTAGCACAATTAATACATTTTTCTGGAATTCTCATTACTCACGCTGTGCCTCAGATTTTGTTATAATCCACACAATCAAGTGTCTTTGCATAGTTGGTAAACATGGGTCTCCGCTCACACAGTCAGAAATCTCCGTAGGCCTGCTGAGAACCACAGAGAGGAGTGGTCAGGAGGGAAGACAGTCTTCTCCTCTTTCAACCACAATATTATTCATCCGGATTACCACCAGCATTCCCAGAAGCATAAAAGAAGATGCTTTCAGAATGGCTTCAAAGAGTTTTTCTCTTTCCCCCCGGCAGAGACAAGCCCAGGGGAAGCCACAGCATAGACAGGGACCTTTTTGAACTGTGTGGATGGAGGTACATTGGTAGCTGGTCAGCCAAGAGGCCTCCTCAGTGGGCCACCACAGTGCTATGCATCGCCACCTGCCCACACCCCTGAGAAGTGCAGAACTTTGGAAGGGTCTGGGTGACACCCCTCTTCTTTGCTCCCCCCAGGGAAGACACGGAGCGCCAAAGTGAAGCCAGGGGACCCGGAATAAAGACGATCGAAATGAGTCAGACCTCATTAGTTGTGGGGATCACGGGCCTCCTTGGTCCTTTGCAATAACACCAGAGGAAGTGGGGCTATCATAGTTTGTTGGCCCAGAGGAGGTAAAACTAGTGAGAGACAGTCTCTGGTGCACTGCTGTAAATACTTCATTGTTAATTGCTGTTCAGGCATCTCTAACTGCACCTTATGAGTAGCCTTATGTATAATGTTGCCCAGTTCTACAGCAGCCAAACAGTTTAGTGACTATCGATTCACCTCTGAAAACAAGTGCTGATATATCAGCTCCATCTAGAGATCAGCATCCTGGTGGCCTAGTGGTTACGCCTTGCTCTGTGACCCACAAAGTACGTAGTTTGAAGCCACCGGCCGTTCCTCGGGGGACAGACAGGACTTTCTACTCCTGTAAAGAGTGACAATCCCAGAAACTCACAGGGGCAGTTCTATCCTGTCCTGAAGAGTCACTACACATCAGCATCGACTCGATGACAATGAGATGGGTCTGGTTTGGTCTTTGAGACACAGAAAGTGAGCCTCAGAGAGATGGGGAAAGCGTCTGAGGTCACCCAGAGGGCAGGCCTGAGATTTGAATCCAGGATTCTGGCCTCGATTCTGCATCTGGGGCAGTACAGGTGACTTGCCCGAAGTGATACATCTAGGAATTCAGACTGAGACCCTGTCCAGCTGAAAACCCCTCATCCCACCCAGCTGTCCTGTTGAGAACAGGGCTGATGGGAAGGCTCCGTGTCATGTGGGCAGTCTCGGCCTCTCTGTATAACAGGTGCGTCTCTAGAAACCAGTCCCCAGAAACAGGATCTTGGCACACAAGTGTCCCAAAGACACCATGTCTTCCCTTAAATCTGGTGAGGCTGCCAAAGGTGGGTCCCAATCTGACCAATGAACTTCGCTGGTTTTTCTCTTTGCCTGGTGCTCACTGGCAAAGACCCCTCCAGACACGGATCTCTCCCTTGGCCACCCCCGTTTCAAATTCTGCATTGCAAGCTTCCTCAGGGAGGAGAGGCTGGTGAGACAGAGAAGCTTCTGGAAAGCCAGGAGGGGGAAAGGGCCTGGGTGGGGGCTGTGGGAGAGGGGTGCTGGGGAGTGGTTCTGGAGTTGTCAAGGGGGTAGCCTAGCAACCGTTGAGCTCAGAGCAGTCACAAAGCAGCGGGTAGAACCCAGGAGGCTTCATGTTGAGGTGTCCGCTTGCTTCTGCTCTGGCAGCAGCACTTGTCTCCGTGTGCTACAGCGAGCACGTCCTGACTGAGTTCAGAGACCTCTTCCAGGCAGGAAGAGATGGATACAGAGCCAGGCCACGAGGGAGGGCCTCCGGGGGCAGAGGTAGGAGAAAGGTAAGCTGTGACTCTGGTGGATGTGAGCCTGCAGATCCCTGGCGCCTGGCTACGTAGGGGCCCCAGGGCAGAGGACTGGGCAGGGCTGGGATATACCGCAGTGGGGCCAGCCCCATCCTGTCCTGAGAGACCCGGCTGGCTCTCTGGGGCAGCAGTGTGTTGTGTGACCCTCTAGTGGCTAGAAAAGGCAATTTAATGAGTCGTGTTGAAGACAGACCATGAAAACAAGGAAAAAATAGGATCCCAATGTCAATGTGCACGCCATCTAATAAGGGTGAGGACTGCCTCAGGCCCTTCCTTTCTGTTTGCACACACGAGTGCAGTTGTGAACCAAGGCATGGGGCAAAAAGGAATTTCTCACGGTGATCACAGCCCCAAGCATCTGGAAGTCTGTTCGAGAGCACCTGTCCGTGGAGGTGGGCGTCTGGGCTTCCTGCCATTGCTTTTGTTGTTAGAGAAAAGATCAGGAGCCCGTAAGCCTCTAAGTCAGGAACCCTGGGCTGCCATCCTTTGCTGATGCCCTCAGCTTGTCTTCTCCCTTTGTCCCCATCTCAGGCAGTGCCAACCCAGCCTACGCTAACCTGATGAAGGGCTGGCATCTAGGGGCCTCTGAGGCCCCTCTTCTGTGACTTGAGGGTTGATTCTCAGAATGCCCTGGTCCGCTGTCCCCCCCTACTTCTGGTGCCTGCAGCTCTAGTTCTTTGGTCTGATAGGTCTGTGTGTATCTCTAGAAAGAGAGAGGATGTTCTTGCCTCCATAGATTGAACTTTAGATTAATCACAATCTTTGCTTTGGACCCTTATCCTCTCTCGTTCATGTCATTTCATTAATTTCGGGAATAGTATAATGAACACTAATCCTGGTACAATCCAAACCAAGAAGCAGAGTCCTACTGTCAGCACATATTCCTAGGAGCTCCTCTCCTACCCCAGATGCCCACCTTTTCTCAGAAACACCCAGTAACGGAATTTTATGTTTAGCATTTTTCTCGCCTTTAGAAGTTCTTTCAAGTTGCATCCTGTACGAGGCGGCTTCCAGACATCGGTGGGGGAATTCCCTCCGTCCACCCACGTTCTAGGCCCCTTCATGCTTACAGTCATCTGTGCTGACCTGAGGGCTTCGTGATCTGAGGATCTCCTACAGATTTGAGCATCTCTGGAAGCTCGCTTTCCCTCCCGTAGGTCACGTGTATGTTAGGTCCCTGTTGTGTGCTGCTCCGACTCATTCACTCCCGGCTGTGGATCCAGTGGGCATCCGGAGTGTCACAGGCGCTGGAGGCCAATGCTAGTACCCATATGCTGAAAACTAGACCCTGGCCCGCATCGACGGAAGTCTCTCTTGGGTATAAACCTGGGAGAGGACTCACTGGATGACATGGCATGCAAATACTCAATTTTATAAGCTAGTACGGTCCCCCCGCCCCCTCACCCCAAAAGTGGTTGCTCAGCTGACACTCCCACCACCTCCATGAGAGTTCCTGCGACCCCCTCGCTCTTCAATGCCGGCATCAAGGGGCCCCTCTTCATTCCATTAGAAACCCTGCCGTGGCTACAGAGGTGAAGAACTCGTTGTCAGAACCCCCACCGATGAGGTAAGGCCTCAAATGGCCACCTGGATGACTGAAGAGGTGGTGGCGGTTGGGGTGGGTAACAAGACCTGGGGGCGAGTTGGGGAGGTTTCCAAACACTGGGAGTCCAAGGGAGGCTACCCTCTTCACCTGACACTGCCATTGGCCAGGCCCCACTGGGTTCTCAGACCCAGAGAGCCCAGCTCATGGGTTGGCCCCTCCCGTTAAGGAGGCGCTATGATGTCAGAGGGCCAGTAGTCCTGAGCACAGGGACCTCTGGGCTCCTCAAGGGGTAGAGGAGGCCAGCTGACCATGGCTTTCAGAGGTGGTTTACTTTATTTCTTTAAGTCCCAGGTCCCTTAGGGGTAAAGCAAGAACGGAGCAGGAAACTCGGGGGCCCGGCCAGCACACCTTGCTTAGCGTATCCAGAGTCCACCTATTCTCGTCCAGAGGGGCTCCCTTCAGCCAGGGCCACCGGGAAAAGGGAGTGCAGAGAGCATCCAGGCAGGTGGTCCCACCAGACCCTCCGGACAATGAGCTCCCCACTTGGCACCCTTGCTTGATTTACCTCTCCCACCAGGATCAGCGCACTCAGCAGGGGAGTGTGCGTGGAGGGTTCAAAGAGGAGGGCAGAGCCTGCGATGGCTTCTCGTGAGTGAAGCAAGGGCCTGAAGCTTCTCTCTAGCGTCTCAGCCCTGGCAGCTGCGTCTCCTAGGAGGGACTCTCCTGGGAAAAGGATTTTCGTGCGTGGTCTGGCCTGGGCTCCTAGACGCTGAGTCTAGGCCAAGGCTGTCCCTGGGGGCAAGGGGAAAGGTGATAGCCCACACTAGCTTCTCTTGGGCTGCCAACAGATTGGCGTGGGGGAAAAACCCTTGCTGGGGTCAGCCCCTGCCCCGGGGGGTATATATAAGGTGTCTTTGTTCCAAGGCCAGGTGTTTGGATAAGGAGGTAGGTAGGTGTCCAGCTTTTCTTTCCAACTTTAGAGGGGAGGGTTGGGGGAGAAAACGGGGACCGAGGGAGGTTTACATGACTTCCCTTAGATGGATCCTAAGCGGGGGTACAGGTGGGGAGCAGACAAACCTACTGCCATAGAGTCATTTCTCACTCACAGTGAGCCTATATAGGATTTCTGAGACTCTAAATCTTTACAGGTGCAGACAGCCTCGTCTTTCTTCCACGGAGTGGCTGGTGGGTTTGTGAACTGCCCACCTTGCAGTCAGTAGCCCAATGCTTAGCCTGCAGCCTCAGCGGGGCGCCTTAAATGGATCCTGGCTCCCTGCTAAAGCATTTTAAGGAGGACAGAGGGACTGGATTGCACCACTGGGAAGGGATTCTGGGAAAGCTTTGGGTACCATGGGGCTTAGTGAAACCCTGGAAACCAGATTTCAGAGTGTGTCAGGAATAGACTCCCATTAACCTCTGAGTTCTGCGTGCTTCTCCCTCTCGTTCAGTCCAAAGGTTGAGCTGAAGGCGAAGAAGCCAGGGCCCAGGGCCCGGAATCAAGTGGACAGTGGGCCACAGAAGGAACTGGTGGTCCCAGGCATTGTGGATTTCGAGCTGACCCAAGAAGCAGTGAGGATCCCCAAGCCCCAAACCCCCGGTGCCTACCGCTTTGGCCGCCTCAGCCACCATTCCTTCTTCTCTCGACACCACCCCCACCCCCAGCACGTAACCCACATCCAAGGTAAGGCCAAGGCGTCAGTCTGGCTGCGCGGGGAGGTATGGGAGACTCACCGAGCGAGAACTGGGAAGGACGTTTCCAAGGATGAGCACTTGGCCAGGGTCTCAGGGACGTCAAGGGACCAAGGCTGGCTCGAAGGTCAGGGCCCATGCCCCTTGTGGGAATGTCCCCCCCTTACAAATCCCACAGCTGAGGAATGGGTGCCGTTGTCTAAATCAGTCTGCTTGGCCCTTGGTCCGTCAAATCACCCAGTCCTTGGGCCAGAGGGCTCTCAGGACAAACCTGCCTTCACTTCCCCCAGACAGCCCTGCACTCAGTCAGGCCCAGGTCTACAGAGGGTCTAGCTAGAGCTGGCTCCTAGCATTGGCTGTGACTTCAAACACTCAGCCCAGCATCCTCATATGGAAGTAGCCCACCCCTCGGGGCTCACACTAGCAATTCTCTGCCCTGCCAGAGAAAGCCAGAGAGCTCCCTGGACTGGGACACTCAGGAACCCGTGCTTTTATCTCACCCCTGCCTGAATGACCACATGACCCTGAGTGGTCCCATCCCATAGACATGCTAAGTGTCCCTGTGGGTGGGCTAGGTGCCTAGTCTAGCTCCTCCAGACCCAGTGCTCTATGGTTGGTGGTTAATGGACCGGTGGATCCAGAGCTCTCCCTGCCCACCAGCGCCTCCTCCCTCCTCCCTTCCCAGAGCTCCAGGTGTCCCCTTCCCTAACCCTGTTTCAGATCTCACCGGGAAGCCTGTCTGTGTCGTCCAGGGCAAGTTCTCTCCGGCCCCCTTGCCTCCAGCCATGTTCTTACCCAGCTGTCTGATAGGGATGTCCACCATCTCTATCCCCATTGGAGACCCACAGTCCAATCGGGACCCTCAGCTGTCTTCTGGTAGGTTTCACCCCTCTCCCCAGGGGCTACCTCGTGTGGATGGATAGCTGAGGAGGAGATGGCCATTGCTGCTGGGTCAGTGGGGTCCCGTGGGGCAGGGAGCCCACTCTTTCCTTCATCTCCTTAAGCAAACCAGTCTCTGCGTTGCTCACCACCCCACAAAGCCTAGTCTTCCGAAATGCACCCCAGCTTGCATTCCAGGTATTTGAAATATAAGCAGATTTTTGGCAATCATCATATGACCTACATACAGTGAAGGGCAGGAAGGGTATTTCAAACATTAGTAATCGGTTTGCTCAAAAGTCTGGCCAAACAGCAATTCAGCATAGTGCTGAAACAATGTTCTGGAGGCTTCAACACTGAAAAACACTTCCCCCCTTTCAGGTAGTGGGGTGTGGAGAAGTCAATTTGAGGAGGTGTGATTCTGGGACAGAGCTGGCCCAGCCTGGGGAAGATAGATAGGATGCAGTGACTCTTTCTCAACAGACTGAGGATGAAGCATCTTCATAAGAAGTATAGCTGAACCTACTGAATCTTAGTCGGGCTACCAGAGAGCCAACACATGCACGCACACATGCACGCATGTACGCACACAATTCCTAGTCATCCTCCCTGAAGGACACCTGCCTCTTTCCATTCAAGATGCAGGGCAGGAAGGAAAGTAGAATCCTCCACCTACCCCATCTCCCCCTTCCCATGACCCTGTGCCACTGGGAGGGTATGCAGAGGGGTCCCAGATGCCAGTTGGCAGGTTTGTGTCCTTCCTCCCAGAGACTTGGAAGAGGGCATTGAAGGACCTGGCATCCCGGGTGGCCATCTTCACCAAGGAGAATGAGGCGAAGAGCCAAGAGGTGGGTGTAGAACACAGGGGGCTCGTCTGGGATGAGGTGAAAGGGATCCACCTCTCGTAATGCAATCTGCCCAGAGTAGGCTCAACCCAGGGGATGACGAGCTTCCAAACCCTTCCGGGGGAAGATTTTGGTTTTTTTGCTCCTGTAGGGTGGTTTGGTATGTTAAGCACTAGGCTACCAACGGCAAGATCAGTGGGTCCAACCCACTAGCCATCCACTCCACAGGAGAAAGAGGAGGCTGTCTGCTCCTGCAGAGATTTGCCCGCCTCGGAAACCCTCTGTAGCAGTTCTGCTCTGTAGTCACTGTGAGTCGGCATGGACTCAACGGTGATGGGCTTGGTCTGTAAGGGTTGGGCTTCTGGGGAGCCCTTCCAGCATCAGGGTGACGCACTTGACTGGTCATTGAAAGCTGAGTGGTCAGAACTCACACGATGCCCATGGGAGAAAGATGGGGCAGTCTGTGCTGGTAAAGATGCCGGCCTTGGCAGCCCCCTGGGGCAGTTCTACTCTGCCTCCTAGACTCGCTAGGAGTTGGAATCGGCTCAACAGCTGTAGGTTTTTATAGTGGAAGGTGCTGTAGATGGTTAATGCCCCCGGTTGCCAACTGAGAGGTGAGAGGAAAGAAAGGTGTGGCAACCTCCTGGGATGTCAGCCGCAGGAAACACACATCGACTTGAGGGCCATTGGCTAGAAGGGAAGGGCTCTCCAGTGGGAGAGGGTCAGGGAGGCTGCAGGAGGGAGGGGTCCAGGGCAAGGTGGACATACCCTGGCCATGCTGTGGTGCTGTGTCCAGGAACGAGGGAGGGTGTTGTTGTGGAGGAGAGGCCATGGGGCACCCTGGAGCCGGGACCTGGGTTTCTCGTCCTCTCTCCCTGACTTTCCACATCTTCTCGTGACCCCTGGGGTCTCTGTCCAACTTTCTTCCAGCAAAAGGCAGAGCTGAAGAGAGAGCAGGGGGCCAAGTACTCCGCCGAGACCGGGAGGCTCATCCCAGCATCCACGGCAGCCCTTTCCCAACACAGCTCCCGCCAGAGCCAGCGAAGCTCTTCCTCAGGCCGAGCGGGAGGAGTCCAGACCTCTGTTCTCCAGGACCCCGAGCTGCTGGTGAGACCCCGGAGGGCCCTGGGGAGACTAGGGTGGTCCCTGGTCCCAGCTCTCCCACCCAGGACTGCCACTGACTGTGGGGAGGTGTGGTTTCTCTAGAGAAACCTTCCATCGAAGCCTATTTAACACTCTGAAACTCCTGACTTGAGCCGCAATCCCCTGCAGTCTCTCTTTTGGGTGTAACCCTGTCCCCTCTGTGCAAGCCCTTAGCTTTCCGCGCTGTACAAACGGGGTGCGCTAACTCATCCTCAGGGAAGGCATCTGCGGCATTCACAGAGGGAGTTGGGACGATCCAACGGGAGGTTCTTCCAAGTGTGTTCTTCCCCGCTCCTTGTCTCCCCACACTGGGAAGGGTCTGCCCTTTGCTCAGGCAGAGCACAGAGCCCACCTCCTCCAAGCCCAAGGTGTCTCCTCAGGGCCGGAAGGGAGCCCATTGCTCATTCCCACAAGTTAAGGCATCAAAGGCCCTGTTGATATGCACACTTGCTGTTAAGGGCAGCTCAGACTGAGCCGGCCTCTCTGCTCGCTTGACCTGCCGGCTGCCATCTGACCTGCCATCTCAACGGGACCTGCTTTGTGTTCAGTGCTTCCCAGCATGAGGGTCCCTCCAGAGATGGATGGGCTAGTGAAGTGGGGGCCTAGAGAGTGGGGGGGGGGCTCAGCCACTGCCAGGTGACCTTCCTTGTCCCAGGTCCCCCGGGGGGGCCAGCATAGCAGGGATTAGAACGCAGCACTTTCTCCACCATAGGGCGGCCTCACCTTGCCTGGAATTAGGGTCTCAGGTCCTGTGGGGAGGGGGCACAGGGCAGGTAAGTTGGATGCGGAGAACGGGGATGGGCCCAGGGGCAGATCAGGGTGGGTGATCGTAGTGGGTGGGTAACCTGACTGAGGGCGACGGTGGTCACCCAGGCAGGCATAACCCTGGGGTGGGCCTCACCCATTTCCCAGGCTGCCAAAGACAAGGCAAACCTGCTGGGGACAGGCAGGCCCCTCCCTGTTCTGGGAAGACTGACTGCCAGGCGCTGAGGGGGCTCCCCTCTCCTAGGATTCCAGGGATTCCACCTCCCACCGGCTTCAACCTTCCATACCCACTGCCGCCATCAGAAACCCAGCCTAGGGTGTCCCCACAGTCCACTGGGGACAGAATTGCACTTTTTTTGAACGAGCCAGGACTGTGGCGCATGGGGGACAGTAGCAAAGATGCCCAAAGCTGATCAGGTGGCAGGGAGCCACATGTTCACGATGACCCACATGAAGGTGCCCTCACTCAAGCCATGCACAGAGCCGGCCAGCTCCAACCTGCAGGCTATCCACGTGGACCACTGCACTTTGCCAGACTTGGGGAGCTTCAGGGTGGGGTTCCCTGTGGGATTCCCCAAAGCCCCACCCTGTGGAGCAGGGCGTCTGGGACTCGGTGCGTCTCAGAGGGGCTATCCGGACAGCTCTATTTTGATTGTCAGTGAGGGATCCCAGGGAGAGTCTTCAAGGGGTAAGGGGTCCAGATCTATGTCTTCTGAGGCCTGCTTCTGCCACAGCACCCTGCTTCCCATGACCTCCTCCCTGTGGCCATGATGTGCATCTATCTAACCAATGGAAGGCCAAGAATTTTCTTCCTCCGGGGCTGTGGGGAGAGACAAGCCTGTGAAATGCCAAGGCCCATGCAGAGGGGAGGCAGGGCCTGGTGAAGGTGGGGGACAGTTGACCAAGCAGGAGGCTCTGGGAGCCTGACTCCTGCCAGGTTCATGGGGCTCATGGCCAGCCTGCCAAGCGGCCCGCGGACCACACCCCACACCTCCTCCTGCCCACAGATCCTGGAGCTCCTGTGCCAGATTCTGCAGACAGACTCGCTGAGTGCCATCCAGTTCTGGTTGCTCTTTGCTCCCCCAAAGGGTGAGGACGCCGCTGGGTCCGGGCCTCTGCCCTCCTGGGAGCCCCACACCGATCCTGCTCTCAGCAGGGTTTCTATGACCCCCTCCTTTAGGGGACCTCTTCTTTGATGAGCCCACCAAGACAGCCGGGGAGGGAGACATGTCAGGGACACACTTTGCAGACACAAGCTCTCACACCACCACCGTGAGACCCACAGATACAAACCCACGCTGCTCGGCGCACACAGGTGCACACACGGGACAGTGGTGGAGGTAGAGATGATGAGAACGGCTTGAGGTGGGGACCCATTGGAGAAGGAGAAGGTGGCGTTTTGGCTGCCCAGGGTGTGTCCGGGAAGGCCAAAGGGGCACAGGATGCACACAGGATTGTGCCCAGAAGACTACAGAGGCCAGGAGAGAAATGGGGATGTCCTCCATGAGACCTCTGGCAACTTGTGAGAGGGTTAGCGGAAGCTGCCCAGGACCTGGGCTGTGCTGCATGCCAGAGGCCCTGCACCAGCCAGCCTGCGGCAGGGAGGCAGGCAGGGTTCCCTCAGGGTCTGGCCCTGAGGATCTGCTGGGGCTGTGCTTCCAGAAAAGGACCTGGCCCTGGGGCTCCTGCAGGCAGCAGTGGCCCCTCTGCTCCCCCAGCCGCTAGTCTCCATCCCCACAGAAAAACTCCTGAACCAACTTCAAGATGTTCAAACATCCACACCAGAAAAGGAGCAGCCACACTACAGGTGAGCTCCACACCCCCCACCCCGCCCCACCCCCAACACACCTGTCCTCCTCTTCCCAGAGCCACTCACCCAGGTGAGGCTGCTGGCTCCCAGAGAAGGGGGCCTGGTGTACCTGGTTTGCCTCTCCTGGGCTCGACCAGACTCAGAGCTGCCCTTGCAGGGGAGGCACAGGGCACCCTAGTGTCGGAGGGAGAACGGGGCACTAAGACACATCCACCCCCCCTCCCACACCCCACCTCCCAAAGCCTCTGGGAAGACACAGGTAGGTAGAAACTCCTCCCTGTGGGTGCCAGATGGCCAGAGGAGTAAGTTCATACATCGGTGGAAAGGCAAGCATTCCCCGGGGTCAGCAGCAGCATTTGAAAGACGGCTCCCGTTGTGCTTGCCTGGCCCTGCTAGACATGCCACAGCTTTCTAGTCCACACAGTGACCCACTGAGCCAGGATTCCATCCCTGCCCAAAGTCCCCGCCTGGTCAGCAAGAGACCTGGACCTGAGGTTGGCCCTGGGGTTTGCTAAAAGGCAGCTGCCTTGAGACCCCCATAGAGCAGGCCTGGCTAAGCACAGAGCCATCCTTCCCAGCTCCAGGAAGTGGCCAGGCCTAGGTTCCCCAGCAGCGGCAGACAATGAGGTTGTCTGTGTCCCCCTTGGAGTGGAGCATGAGTTAGGACAGCGTGGGCCTGGGGCTCCCTAGCCAGGGCCACCCTTGCCTCTCCCTGGCACCTTGCTGAGTGGGGCCGCCTCACCGCCCAGACCCTCCTTTGCATCTGGTTCTAGTCAGTCCCCAAAGCCAACAAAGACATTGCCAGTACTAAAGAGCGAGAAGCCAGGTAAGCACCAAGCTGTGGGTGGGGGGGGTGGGGGGGCTCCCCGAGGCCCCTCCCCTGGGTAGTCAAGCACCTTGGATGCAGGTGGGCTCCTGCCCAAGGAAACGGTTGCTTCTGCTTACTCATTCAGTTGTTCCTTCCTCCCTTCAACAAACACTGGTTTTGCACCCAGTGGTGGTGTGCGTGATGAGGGGGCCTCTAATCACAAGGTTAGCTATTCAAATCCACTAGTCCCTCTGTGGGAGAAAGAGACATAGAAAGAGTTACTGTCTTGGAAACCCACCACGGGAGTTCTGCCCTGCCCCCTCGGGCTCCATGTGGCCTCCATGGCTTGAGGTTAGGGAGGGAGTGCTGGGCTCCGGGGGAGGGGGAGTGCTGGGCTCCAGGGGCGGGGAAGCCTCCCCCTAGCTCCCTCCTCTAGTGAGGAGGGCTTCAGGCATTGTGTGGGAAGGCCTTCCAAGGGTGGGAGGAGGAGGAGGCAGGAAGGTGTGGTGAGTAAGGAGAGGGACTTGCTGGGCACATTCTTGGAGCTGAACGACTGCAAATGACACAGCCACACCCGGGGGTGGGGGGTGAGGGGGCAGTAGGGACATCCTGCAAGCAGAGCTCAGACAAGCCTGGGGAGCAAGTGGGCCAGGATGCTGGGCCTTGGGACTGGACAGTGGTCAGGACTGAGGTGCTGCGTGGGTTCACACAAGCCTGGTGGGGTGAGGGAATGCAAGGGCCACGATGCCCTCGGGTGGGGGGTCTTGGGTGTATGCAGCAGGCTGTGGAGTGAGCCGGAGGCACTTGGAACACTCACTCTGGTGTAGATGGAGTGGGAGGGCCGGAAGCAGAGAGGAGAGAGAGGAGAGCTGGGGGGCAGGGGCGGGGCAGGGGCTGGGGGGTGGGGAGGAGTTGTTAGTTGCCTTCGAGCAGTCCAGGCCCATGTGGCAGAACTGCTCTGGAAGCTGTGGCCTTCCAGCAGCCGGTCAGCAGGCCCATCTTGGAGATGTCCCTGGGTGGGTGCTGGCACGTCGTGAAGCACTTCGCCATTGGCACCACCACCAAGGGACAAGCCAGAAGAAGGCAGCGGGCAGTCTTGCCTGGCCAAGCGGAGGCACGTGTTTCATCTATGTTAGTGGGCTAATGAGAGAGAGAGAGAGGCTGCCAGCAGAACCCAGAGCAGAAGACAAGCTTGAACACGGCCTCCCTGCTCCGCTCTCACACATCTGTGGGGGCCATGCAGGGAAGCGGGGTCTGCTGGGCTCCCCAAGTTCACTCCCAGGAAGGGCCTGGTCGCTCCTCCTCTCCCCTCCCCGCTCCAGAGTACATCGGAGCCGCCCAAGTTCTCCGAGTGAACTCAAGCCGAAACTCAGAAGAAAAAGTGTTGGCATCACAGGCAGAGAGCTGAGGGTTTGTCCAGGAGGCACTGCCGTCCGGTCACAAGAGCCACCCCTGAAGTCAAGGCTGCTGCCGCTGCCCCCACCCAGTGGAGCGGCACCTGCTTCCCTGCTGCGCAGTCTACTAAATAAAGCACCGTCCTCCCTCTGAGAGGCTCTCCCATCAGGAGCTGGCCTGTTTATTCCACGCCCCCAAGGAGAAAGC